GGGGGGGGAAGAATCATGGAGGTTTATTGCAGCGAGGCACTGTTATTGGTATTTATGCCGAAAAGCTCCTCCTTCTCGCCAACCTCCATGTAAGGCAATAGGTTTGGGAGAAGAGTTGTATTAATTCAGTAATGATATATTGAAGTGATGTTGTATTATGAGACCAAACACATACGGGGTCAGCATAGATTTATGGTGATGAAATAGAATCATAAGATAAATTTTTAAACTCTGACATGGTCCAGACAAAGAGAATGTATTTACTTTTGAAAACACTGATTCCAAGTGACCAATACATATTTGCATTTTCTTTTTCTTCAGGGAAATTTAAAAAATTTTATATGAATTTATTCCCTCAGACTTGGCACAGGTGTGGTTGGAATTGTTAACATACCCTTGGAGATCATGGAACCATCCCATAATAAACAAGAATTTCTCAATATCCAGGAATATAAACATCTACTAAAAGTCATGGGACAGTACTTGGTCCAGTACTCTAAGGACACCGGGATCAGTGAGTATTCAGTGGTGACACTATGAGATACTTAAAGAAGGAATCTAGTTGTGTGATTTAAGTGAAAATGATTGTATTGAGTCCAGTAACCAGAATCTAAATCCTGAAAGAGAATTCTTTTTTAAAAATCCTAATTGAAGGCTGGGGTAATAGTTCAATGACACAGTGCTTGCCTAGCATGCATGAAGTCCTGGGTTCAACCCCAGGCACTGCAAAAGAAAAACAGAACAAAACAATAAACAAGAGGGGCAAGAAGGGAGCTGGAGGGGCCGGAGATTTAGCTCAGTGGTTCAGGCTCCTTCCTCGAAAGCGCAAGGTCCCAAGTTCGATCCCCAGTACAAAAAAAAAGGGAGCTGGTTTCATAATCTTACCCAAAATATCATGTGAAAAATAAAGGAGAAATTTAAAATTATTAGATGAAGGCAATCAGAGAGCAGTGTGCAGTGGCAACTTATCATGGAGGAAAGAGGCAGAAGGTGGCTGGAGACAGAGTAAGCACAGAGTCCTGTGGAGAGCCCTTAGTAGCTCATAGCATTCCAGTTCATGTCATGCAGTAGTAAGTATTGACCCTGGGTAATTCTAGATATGTAAAACATTGTTTTATATGTCTAACACACTTTAAGTATATTAATTCCCAAAAGATTTCAATTGAAAATCATTGAAATAAGTATTTGGAAACCTAGAAAACAAACTGGTCATCTAGAAAATTTTGACCTATTTGGACCACATCATTCTCCAGGTTACTTGAACAGTGAGATGGTGACCTGTGTGTTCGTTAAATAAATATTTGCTGAAGTCATGCAGACATAGTAAACATATTCATTTATGGAAAGAAATAGACAAATTATCCAGTATCTTTTCAATGATTTATATGAATTATATACATACTTCATATATGTCAAAAATATGTCTCTCTCTGAGGCAATTTAAAATCTTACTGCTCTGTTGGATTTACAATTTTAGAATCTTTTCTTTTCTTTTGTACCCATGCTACTTGGACCTAAAATTTTCTCACCTGTGAGGCAAAGGGAAGAGTGCAGGGACTCTGGAAGGAAAGATAATAGGGGAAGCAGATCAAGGGGACAGATTCCCTGAAAAACTAGATTTTTATGTAATGGTCTAGAACCCGCTCAGTGTGGTTGCTGGCAGCATCCACACTTCCTCAAGCTTATTAGAAAGCAGACTTTCGAGCCCAACCTGAGACCCACCAAAATAAGATCTGAATTTTCACAGGGTCTCTGTGTGTCTTCTAAGCACATTCAAGTTTAAGATGAACTACTCTAAAGAGTACATTCATGCAGTTTTTCTTTGGATAGGCACACTTTTTCTACCTTTTTTTCCCCTTGGAGAAACATTAAAAGTGTCCTACACATAAGAATGACTACATAGTATGGCAGGTTTGCTTAAAGCTGTAGAGAACATGAGAAGATATAAATATCAATATAAACATAATGAAATATAAACCAAACATCCTACTGAGTTTTAAATGGTAGCATGATAAGGTACTAAAGAAAAGAAAGCATTTGAACTAACACATCAGACATGGTCCATCCTGTCTGGGAACTTCCAGTCTGAGGCTTATGGTCTGAGTGTCTGTGTCTGTTGATTTCCTAACTCCCAAAAGAATGGTATTGGGAGAGGATTAGTTCACAAAAGCAGAAGTCTCCTGATTGGGATTAATGTCACTGTAAAAGAGGCAAAAGTGAGACCCTGCACCCTTGTACCATGTGAGGTCAGAGCAAGAAGATATCATCTGTGAACCAGGAAGGGAGCCCTCACCACAATCAGAAGCTGTAGTGATCTGGGATTTCCAGCCTTCAGAACTAGGAGATATAAATTCCCATTGTTTATAAGCCACTTAGGATTTTGTTATAGCAACCCCAATGGACTAAGACCCAGAGCTGACATGATTTGACAAGACAGTTAGAAGTGGGATTGTTGTCTGATAGAGAACAGTGCAGCCAAGAGCCTAAACCAGTGGGTAGGAGCCCAGTTTTTGAGCCAGGAAAGGCTCTGAGGAAGTGATTGTTTTCTGAAGGGCAAGGGGAGTTAGCTAGGCCATTTCCATCTTTTCCTCTTGGGGACAAGGGGATATGTCACGGAAGCCTTCCCGAATGACAGCCTTCCATATATCTGAAGACAAGCTTATCTCTGTCTTCAGTCTTGTTTTATCCTGGCTAATATTTTCCACTTGTAGTATATTCTTCATTTAACATGGAATTAAATATATTCTAGCATTATACTTTAAAGTGTTTCACCTAGAAGCAGAATGTTCCAGGTGAAGTCTGGACAGCCTTGACTGAAATGGGATTATCATCTTTCTTTGGAGTTATTGTAGTGCTCATGGTCCAATAATATATTAACTCTCAATAAGCACATAATTGAACCACAGTGTCCTTATCACCAATTAAAAACTTCACTAAAATGTATAATGTTGTTCTTGTAAAGCCATCTCTCTCTTTTTACTTATATTTTTCCACTAAATATTTTCGGACCCTGGTATACAACCTACATTTATCCCTATTAAATTTTATCACAGTATTTGTCTCTGCTCATTCAAGTTGTCAGGACCTTATCTTCAATCTGATGCTGACTTCTATCTAGTGTATCATCTTCCCAGATTTATATGATGTCTACTAGTATTTCTCTGTGATTTCATGTAAGCTCTGTTGCATGAGACAAAAAATCAAAGTGCTGTGGCTCCTCAGTGGTGACTACCACTGAGGTAGAAATGGGCACATGAGATATTGGGTGAGGACAGTTAACCAATTACAAATTTCCTAATCATATTATACCCTAACTCATATCATTTTTCCAGTTTGTGCATAATTGTGGAAGTGAAGGATAGAACATCTCCATTAAATAGATAGTAATTTTGTTTCTGGATATAGCTAAATGCTCACAGGAAAATTATGTTTTTCCTTTAGTTTCTAAGATCTCAGAAACTTATTACAAGAAAAATGAAGTTCAGCATTTCTGTGAGGAATACACAATGCATGAGGATACCTGTGTAAATATTCGAAGGGGAAATTTCCTTGCTGCTAAGGCAGAATGACAGAGTACCACAGTGGGTGGCTTCAGTAACAGATATCTGTGTTTTTAAGGTCATGTATTTTGTTTTGTCTTTATTGTATCATATTATATTTTATTGTTTGTCACTAACTTTTTTATTCTGGGTTGAGTGTTGTCCCTCTCAAGTTCCTGTCTCAATTCCCCATTCTCAGTACCTCAGCATCTGGCTATGCTTGGAGATAGAACCTTAGAGAAGGATTTAAGTTGAAAGGACTTGTTATGGTGAGCTCTGATCCAGTCTGTGTCCTCATCCCAAGAGGAAACTGGGGTGCACAAAGAGACCTCAGGGCTGGGAGCACAAAAAGGAAAGCCCATGTGAGAAGGAGGCCAGCGGCAAGCAAGGAGGAGCAGCTTTTGAAGAAACCAAGCCTGCCAGTACTGTGATCTTGGACTTCCCACTCCTGGAACAGTAGAAGATAAATACCTGTTGGTTAAGCCACCACCCTGTGGGGTTCTGTTATGGCAACACCAGCAAACTAATAACATGTGAGAAACTTCAAAATTAGAAGTAAAATCAGTGTTGTACTACAGCCTAATAAAGTCATCATCCAGTCTCAATAATTGTTAACTTCTGGGCAAACTGATTTGATAACAGGTCGTTAGCAGCTGGGTCTGGAGATGCCCTGTGGATTACTAACAACATGATAGGGCTCAGTATATCTGCCCTTATTTTATTTGTCTCCTCTATTACCTTAAAACTTTGGATCAGCTCCCTGCTCTGCTCTGCACACACATATGTTAATAACTGAAGGAGTGTCTGTATACAAAGTTTATTAGCCCTAAATTTACCTAGCCTATCTCATTTCTCTTCAAACTCAGGATACTAAGATAAAAGCAGAGTAATTTTCAGGATTTGCAGGGACATCTAATAGTTGCTGTCCAGTTCCAGACCCCCTGGAGCAATGCCTAGCAGTCTCCAGTCACTCCTAAACCTGCAGGCATCTCAGATTTCAGGAAAAGCAGTGCCTGGCCGAGCACCCATGACCCCATGATGAGGGGCAGTATGACATGACAGGAACTGAGGCTGTCCCCCTACTCGGGCACCATCATCTCTTTATGGAAGTTGAGTTGCACCATCAAGAGATGATGTGTCTCCCAGAACCTCACAGAGCCAATCCCGAGGTACCAATTAGCCACCAGGATTACCTTCCCGGCCAGCTATGCACACCCCAGCCTTTGTCTTTGCTCCCTTTATGTATAGAACCCCCAAGCTTCTGTCTGCCCCTCAAAGACAGATCTTGAACTCCTTTATCTGTGCTTCCCAACATAGCCACGCTGACTAAAGCTCCTCTCCCACCCTTTCCCACTGTCGGTCTCCTTCACTGACGTTATGGGAGTGAGTAGAGGCTGAGCCTGGTCTGAAGCTGACGGTTTTGCCCTAAAATTTTGGTAACTTTCATGTATACTTAATTGATTCCCCCACTCACATCATGAAGGCAACTGTAGGTACTCTGTAATTACATCCATCAGTATATCTATAAGTTAGCGTGTATTTCTAAAAGTGTTCTTTAAAAACCACAGTACAAACATCACTAAAAGTAATCAGTACCTCTTCAATATAATAAAATATCTAACTCATTGCTCTTATTTCTGATTACTTCATGTCAAAATCCATAGGATTCCATCACATTTCTTCTGCCTAACTTCCCCCACTCGGTTATCCTTGCTGTTTACTTGTAGGAGACACTGGGCTGGTTTGTTGGCAGTTTTCTCACAGTCTAGGTTTTGCTCATCACATTATTGCATTATGAGGAGTAATTTTACATGCACTTTCTTTCTTTCTTTTTTTTTTGTAAATTGGTAGACTATAGACTAGGAGCTTGATCAGATTCAGATGTGTATATCATTGTTGTCAAGATGCCTCTTCCATTAGGAGGTATATATGATCCAGTTGTCTCTACTATAATAATATTAACAGCCAACAGTCA